GTTTCAGGAACTGCCAATTGTTTTTACACAGTGGCTGCTCCATTTTACAGTTCTACCAACAGCGTATGAAGCATTTCAATTTTCCACATTCTTGTCAATATTGTTTTTTTATTTTTTAAAAGTTTTATGAGTCCATGTTTGTGGTATGTAATGATCACATTCCTCATGTGGAGTTGGTTCCTGTACCTGACACGTCTTCATTCCTTTCTTCATCCCCCTTCTTTTCCCTCTTCTGTCTCTTGATCTCTTTTACATTTGAAAAACATGTCTCCCTCCTTCCTATTATCTATCTTTGTTTTGCTCTTTATTTGTAATTTGAGTTTCTCGTGTGAGAAACAATAGAAATGTGATATTTAGACTTATGTGTCTGGATCATTTCACTTAATATTATGGCATCTAGGTGCATCCATTTCCCTATAAATGGCTCCAGTTTATCCTTCCTTATGGAAGGCTGATACTCTCCTGTGTATATATACCACATTTTGGTATCAATTCAGCTGTTGATGAAAGTATTGGCCACTTTAAGATTTAGCTATTATGAATTGTGTTGCTATAAACATGAATTTGTGTGAATCACTATAATATGATGCTTCAAGATACCTTGAAATGGAATAACTGGTCAAATAGAATTTTGGCTTTTTGAGGAAACTCTATACCAACTTCCATGATGGTTGTCCTAATTTACTTTCTTAACAAAAGTGTAAGAAGTTTCCTTTTTCTCTGCACCCTTGCCAGCATTTGCTATGACATGATTTCTTGAAGATAGCCAGTCTTTCAGGAATAAAATGAAATCTCAGTGTTGCATTTCTCTAGTGGCCAGCATTTTATCTGTCTTTTCAAATTATAGCCACTGGAATGATATATCATTTTGGTTTTGATTTGCACGTCCTTGGTTGCTAATGATGTTGATCATCTTTTAATGTGTTTATTGACCTTTTATATGTCTTCCTTAGCTAAATGCCTTTTCAGGTTCATTACCCATTTTAAAAACTGGATTATCCCTGTTTATATGTTGGATTATGAGAGTTATTTATATATGTTAGATGTAAGTCCTAGGATTCATTTTTAATCCTATAGACTTCTAGATATTCCAGCACTATTTATTAAAAAGGCTTTCCTTTCTCCATGAATTGTTTTGATGTTTTTGTCAAAATACACATTGTTCTATATTTGGAAACTCTAAGTCTGTCACTTCTATTTTATTTTATATTTAAGTCATTTCAGTTTGAAACAGTTCATCATATTTACTACAATCTATTCTTTGACTCACAGGCTATTTAGAAAAGTATTGCTTGATTTTCACATGTATGTATAATTTTCTACATATTATTGTTGATTGTTAACCCCATTGTGATTAAATCAGAAAATATAATCTTATTATTTCATTCATTTAAGTTTACAGATTTTCTGCTAGTCTAGTATAATCAATGTTGGCACATATGTCATGTATACTTGAAATTAATATGTATATTGCTGTTGATGGTATAATACTCTATAATCTCAATTTTATCAAATAGAATGACAGTTTTTTCAAATCATCTGTATCCTTAGTGACTTTTTGTGTTTTTGGTTATTAATTACTGAGAAAGGGGCTTTAAATTATACAACTACAATTGCGGGTTTTCTATATTTCTCTTTGGTTCTGCCAGTTTTTATTGGTGATATTTGGAAATTTTGTTGTTAAGCTTATACACATTTAACATGGTTTTGTTTTTGTGATAAACTGACCTTTTGTCATTTTTAAGTGATCTTTTCTGTTTCTGGCAATAACCCCATAATAAACTCTTGTTTGTTTAAAATTAAATAGTATATGCCATAGTTTCCTCATGCTTTTGCTTTCAAGGAGGCTGTATTTTGTATTTAAAGTGTATACATGGTATAGTTTGGTCTTGTTTTCTTAGTCTCTTTGGTAACTCTATCTTTTAATTGGGATTCTAAATGTCATTACTGATAAATTGTCTGTCTTACTACTTGTCTTATATGGCTCTGCTTTCTTTTGTTGTTGTTGTTATTTTCCTGACCTCTTTTGGGTTAGTTATTTGCTAGTGATTATTTTTATGTTCCCTGCTGAATTTTCTTCTGAATTAATGTAAAAGTTCATACCAATATGCTTCAATTCCTCTTCCCTTTCTGTGATTTGCATTATATATTTTGCTTCTGTATGGTACTATCTCATAATTTGTTACTATTTTTGCTTTAAGCATTTAATGAATTTTTAAAAACTTAATACAAGAAAAAAGTTCCTTTTATTTATCTATATATTTATCATCCCAGCGCTCTTCAATCTTTGGCTGTAGATTCTAACTTTTATGTTTTACCAGTCCCTTCACTTTCAAGAACTTATTTAGTTGTGTAATACTCTCCGATTTTGTTTACATGAAAATGTCTTACTTCCCATTTAAACAAAAATTAATGTATAAAGAATCATAAACTGGAAGATTAGTGCTGATAACACTGCAGTGTCTTCTAGCTAACACAGCTATCTGATGAGAAGTTGGCCATCCTTCCTGGATGTAACATGTATTTTTCCCTGGCTGCTTTTAAGAATTTTCCCCTTGATTTCTGTTCAGTCAGTAGCTGTGAGAGGTGTAAGTCTTTATTCTGCTCACAAGCAGACTGTTAACCCCGCAGCATCGTAAGTGCTGAGTGGAGACAGAAGACAGTTTATTACACCAGTAGCAGAGTGACGTTGCCCTTAGGCTCCCTGAGCCCCAGTGTCCACATAGTGTTGGTTTGGATCTTAAAAGTTCTTCTATGCCAAAGGCTTGATCAGCAACCTGGGGTGCTATGGGGAGGTAGTGGAACCACTAGAAGGGGTGTCACTGTAAAGGTAGTAAATTAATTGAAGTCTTGTCCTTGAAGGAGATACTGGGGCTCTTGTCCCTTCCTGTCTCTGTCTTTTGTTTCCAGGTGCCATGAGGTGAACAGCCTCCGAGGTGCATGTTGCTTATCACAATTTCTCATTTCACCACAAGCCCGAAGCAACAAGGCCCAGTGATCATAGACAAACTCTCAGAAACCGTGAGCCCAAATAAAAATTTCCTACTTAGGGGCTGTTTTCCTTAGGTCTTCTGTCACAGTGTCGGAAAGCAGACACAGGGTGTGGCTAGTGCTGTGTATGACCACAGCACGCCAAGGAGTACATTGCAGGAGAGGAGTCCAATAGTAGGAAATGCACATCTTGTGCCGTGGTCACTGGAAAACCTGCCCAGCCTTTGCTCAAAGATGGAGATGCCTCTTCATTACATGTAATAGAGAGACAATCCTCCTTCGATCAGATTTATTTATATCCACTTGGTACTTATTATATAAAATGGTCTCTTGACCCCTTATGTCCTATTTTCCCCTCTAGATTCTGTGTTATATATATCTTAGTTTTGTTTTTAATTCCTTATCACTTAATTATTCTGAGTCTGTTTCAGTTAACAGTTATTGGTAGTCTTTTCTCTCTCATCTATGACCCACGTTTTTCTGATTCTTTGAATGTCTGATAAGTTTGTGTCAAAGGGTGAACAATGTAAATGATTCATTTTAGATGCTCTAAATTCTGTCATGATTCCCCTCTGAAGGGGTGGAGCTGTGTTCTAACAGGAAAATAAGTCATCAGAAGGTCATGTTGGTTTTATATATTGGATAGATTTCTTCTAGTTGCATCTCGGCTTCTAGGGCATCTCTGCTCTTCCTGAAATGCAGTCTTTGTTCCTTAAGTATGACCGTTATGGGGTTTCAATGGAAAGGCCAAGGCGTCTCCCAAGCCCCTCCAAAATGTCAGGGCTTAAACTCTATTCCTCAGCAGTTCACAACTAACTGTGTCAATCTGTGTTCACTGTTGTTTTCCTTTGGGTTATTTGAATTCCTGCCCCATGTGTGTGTGTGTGTGTGTGTGTGTGTGTGTGTGTGTGTGTGTGTTCAGGAGCCCACTCAATATTTCAATGGAATTTGTTGGGCTTTTCCCTTTGTGATGTCTTCTTTTGTAGGATTTTCCCTTTCTGAAAGCTTCCTCTGCCTCTAGCATCTATCAGTCACCTTCCTGCCGGCTGCAGTTTCTGCTAGGTTCATCCTTCTCTCCCAGCAGGCACTCTCCTAGCCAGTGCCTGCATATATGCAGCAGGGGCACAATGAATACTCCTAGAGTGAACAAATAAAGATTCTGCCTAAGACCAGGGCCTAGTCTTAAAAAGACAACATAGCAGCGTGGCTCAGTGATTTGGAGTGAGGCCTCTAAGCTCTTGTCTCAGGGTGTGAGCTCAGTCAGGTAACTTAACTGTTCTGTACCTCAGTTTCCCTCTTGGGTAAAAAAGCTTCCTACCACCTAGGATTGTGAGGATTAAATGTGCAAACACGGTGGGACAGAAAGCCTAGGACCCAGTAACAGTGGGTGGGACAGTAACCTTAGATTTATAGGCTGTTCCCTCAGAAAGCCCAAGGAACACAAGCTCATTTTAGGCATTGATTGAAGTCAGTAATTTCTGGGGAGCTAAAATTTTACTGGGTCTACAGGAAATGCAGAATCACTTAATTCAGATTATTACATCCGGTGCCTTACCTAGCTACAGAAATATGGAAGCTGGATAGTGCTGTCAAGGGGCTACTGAAAAATAAGAGCTTCTCGCCGTGCCAACCATGAGGATAGTTTTGCAAAACTACTTTCAGGTCAAAACTCCTTGCCGACGATCCCCAGACAAATTAGCAAAATCCACCACCAAAGCCAATAGTTACAGACAATTGAAACTCTTGAACTTTTTTTTTTTTTCTGCCTCGTAAATAATGGATTTGTAGACATCTTTTATTACTGTCTTTTTCAAGCCGTGTACATTCCTGGCTCTGGCTGTATTTTCGCGGTCTTGCGCTGGAAAAGTAAACCAGCGAGAGTCAAAGGGGCAGCCATTCGGGAGCGCGCAGGCGGGAGCGCGCAGGCGGGAGCGCGCAGGCGGGAGCGCGCAGGCGGGGTGGGTGGGGCGGGGATTGCTGGAGGAGCGCCGCCGGCCGGAGCGCAGCGATCCAACCAGTCGGACGGCTCCGCCCCGCCATCCTCCCGGAAACCCAGACCTCCTGCGAGCCCCGGGCTGCGTCGGCCCGCGCTGCGGCTGCCTGGGCGCCGAGCCATGGGGCGTCCGGGCCGGGGGGAGGCCTGAGCAGGAGGCCGGCGGGAAATGGGTAAGGGCATGTGGGGCTGGCAGGAGTCGCTCGGGCCGAGCCGGCGGGTTCTCCCCTCACCCCCTCCACTGTGACTGTGCTGTCACAGGGCTGGTCAAGTTGGTGAGCACCTGTGGAATCGCTGTCGGGGCCGGGACGCTGAGGATAGTGGGCCTGGAGCGGAGAAGAGGCTGCAGGAGGGTCCGGAGCAAGCAGAGAACCCGAAAATCCAGCCTAAACAGATGGCAGGGTCTAGGGCAGCCAGGGTGGTGGCTCAGCTGCGCCCCACCGGGAGAGTAAGTGCGGTGGCTTCGCGGGCTCCCGCAGCCAGGGCGGCGGGGCTCTACTTCGAGCCCCGCTGGAGAGCAGGGAGCCCGCGAAGCTGTCAGTGTCGGAACCAGGGGCCAGCGAGGCGCTGCCTGGTGGGAACTGGTGAGCTGCACCCCACAACTTCCCGGGTGTGGAGATCCCAGCTGACCCCAACCTCAGGAGTGCACGCCCCTCTCCTTTGGTCCTTCTCGGTGTGTGTGTGGCCAGAAAGCATCAGGCTTTCCTGGGAAGGTAAACAGTGTGCGCTCAGCTGATTAATCCCACCCCTTTCTGGCCCTAGAATTGCATCTAGCTGGTCCTTTCGGGGGATGAGGAGGGAGTCTGGGTGAGCATTTTTTTTTTTTTTAATCGGTACCGGGCATTGAACTCATGTCAGCCTGCTTGCAAGGCAGGTGCTTATGCCGCTGAGCTAAATCCCCAGCCCCTGGCTGAGCATTTTACCGGGTCATATGACTGGTTTTGCTGAGGTGGTCAATGTGCTGGTGGCCCTCTGTGTGGCCTGTATGTCGGAGTGAGGAGGCCAACACCACACAAGTCCCTGCATCTGTAGGTCTACCTGCCCTTGATCCTCATTAGCCCGGACTCCTCTCCCGGGCCTCCACTGATTGAATGTAATTAGCACTTAATTGGGTATCTGTGAGCCCCTCTACACAGAAGCATGCCAAGGTCAAGTTTAGACAGCTCAGAGTGCCCTGATTCATTCTTTTCTTCCTGACTGCACTTCCTCTGTGTGCAGGGTGTAAAGAAGAGTTATTTCTTCATTTATTCAGCAAATAGTTACCACAGTCAGGTGTGTAGGCACCTGGAACACACAGCTCTCATTTGCATACGGGCTGCAGAAGAGAGAAAAGAAGCAAATGAGAAAATTAATCACATCATTTCAGAGAATGATCCATGCTGTAAAATGATGAAACAAATCAGAGAAATTGGCCCTTGTCAAGAAAGGGTTGCAAATAGACATGTGTGTCTGTGGGGGAGGGGGGGTGCTTTTTCTGTTTTCCAGTATTGGGTGGAACTCGGGCCTTCACATGGAGCTACATCCCCAGGTCTTAAGTTGCTCAGGCTGACCTCAAAGGTACTGTCCTCCTATCTCAGCCTCCCAGAGTGCTGGAATTACTGGAAATATGCACCAACACACATAGTGCGGGAGGACTTTCTAAGTGAGGTTAAGGAACTAGTACCCTTTTCAGGCCCTGAAAATCTGGTGTCCCCAGCAGGGAGTTATCTATGAAGCTTCCTATAAGAGATCTGTGAGCAGTGGTGAATGCTAAACAGCCCTGAGAGCATTGCCTGTTGGGAGGCTTAAATCTGAGGCAGAGATCTGTGTCTCCCAGGAGACTTGCTCTGTTGTCTCTCTCATTTATTCATTCAACAGACATGTACTGATGGTCTGTATGTTCCAGGCACTAGTCCAGGTTTTAAAGGTGCTTTATTCAACAAGATAGTCCTTCTCCACTGGGCCTTATTTTCTGGTGGGGGAGAAATGGACAATAAGTAGCACTGTTAATGTCATGTCAGATAAAGGCTAGGAAGAAAAAGCAGCTGGAAAAGTTTGAAGGTGACAGGGATTGCTGTGTTCTCTAGAGTGATGGGCTTAGGTCTGGAAAAGGTGGCATTAGAGCAGAGACCTGAATGAGAGGACAGGACACTGCCATGTGCTGTCAGGAAGAAGATTCTAGCCAAAGGTAACAGTGAGTGCAAAGGCCCTGCCGCATGAGGAAGGCAAGAGAAGGAAATTTGAAGAGGAGTAGGGCAGGAACTGGTGTGTTTTCCTGGGAGGGAGTAGGTATCTTGAAGTGGCCTTGGCAGCAGTGGCAGGAAAATTTATAAGCTCCCAGGTTAACTTGGGGTCAGGTCTGGTGGCCAGAGGTGGTCTCCAGAGATAGAGAGAGACAGATAGACAGACAGAGACAATGAATGAGAATGAGAATGAATCTGGCAGGACAGGTCACTTGCTTTTCTTGCATCCTGTATCTGTCAATCAATACACTGTGGGTCCATGAAAGAGGTCTCAAATAGGGAGCAGATCTCCAAGTTTTCAAATCAATAAAGACTCTAGGACCTGGAAAATAGAAAAACATATTTCCTGGAAAAATTTTGATCATCTATTTTGTTTTCATCCTTAATAATGTGACCTCATTAGAAGTCTTTGAAAAGTCAATAGATCATCTAATAATTGGCATTTTTTGAGCACGTACTATATTCCAGGATCATCCTAGAGCTCCTTAAATTGAGTAATGACACAAATAATCCTCACAGCAATCCTGTCAGGTCTTCATTATTGCAGTCCTGTTTCACAGATGAGAAAATAGGGGTTCAGAGACAGGAAGGAGATTGCCCAAGGCTGCATGGCAAGGAGGGAGGAGTCAGAATTAGGCAACCAGGTTGAAGACCCAACCTCAGACCACAGCACTCAGAGTACCGCATCCTCCCCCAGCCCAAGCTGGATCATAGATACCATTGCAGCTTAACCAAGGGAACAGTGGAGTGGTGGTCTGGAGAAGGTGGTGTCTTAGTATTTGTTGCCAAAACAAAGTGCCACAGATTGGGAACTTTATAAAGAACAGGCATTGGTTTAACTCATAGTTCTGGAGGCTGAGAGGTACAAGCTGGTGCCTGGTGAGGGCATCTGGTCCTGAGACAGGGACCAAGCTGCAGTGTGACAGAGCAAGCTCACCAGAGAGCTGGCTGCCTGTGTAACAGCTATTATTGTGATGCCCAGGACACCTTTAATCTGTAAGAGGGTCAGTCTGCTTTCATGAGCCCTCAAGTCTCAGTCACCCCTCAAAGGTTCCCTCCTTTTAATACCATTAGCATGTGGCTTTGTGGATTAAGTCTCCAACCCATGACGTGTTGGCAACACATTCAAATCACAGAGGTTGTGTTTCATTTGGGTCCTCTGTGTTCACACAGAAGCTCTGGGCCACAGAAAACGGCATTCTGAGCATTCTGAGAAAGCCATGGAGCAGGACAACAGGAAAGGAGGAGAGAGGACCCAGGCACTGCAGGTACATCCCGCTTCTCTCCTTTCATAAACGTGTTTTTAAGTAACTCTTTCACAGCTTAAATATTATTTCAAAATAATTTTTAGAGGTTATTCTTGGTCATATCAAAAAGATTTTAAATATGAAGTCAAACAACCCTTAAAGTACACAGGGAAAAATTTTCCTCCTTTTCCCATCCTCTGCTCTCCAATCTCCTTGTTACTGAGCCCGCATTTATTCGCTCCTCTGTCACAAAGGGCCCAGGGAATTAAGGACAAGTCTTGGAGCAAAAAGGATTTATCCCGTAACCCCAAACATAGATCTTGGTGGGCTGCCATCTTGAAACACCATCTTCTGAACCCAGGCTCAAGCTCCTTTTGTCTTTGGCAAGAAGTGACTGATGAAAGCAGGTGCCTGGCAGTCTGCTGATTTGCATGTCTTGAATGGGGGAGGGGAGAGCTTAGGGAAGTTTGAGGCAAACCAACCTCATGCTGCTGGTTTCAATGATTAACAATGGCCACTTGCTCAGGGAAACATAGGTTTTCTGCAGTGTGAGACAGAAATGTGGCTGAGTACCATATGGAAGCTTAGGTTTCAGTTTTCTTTGAACCCTAAGCCTGGCTACATCCTCAGAGACAGTGTTTTAATAATGCATATTTTATATGCATACTTTCCTCTTCTCAACATAAAGTAGGAAATAGTACTCAAGTATGTTCCTTTTTTGAAAAAGGTAATCACTTGTTGCAATCATTCTGCAAGACACGTAGGTAGAGGTTCTCCTTTTTTGAGTCAGTGTAGACTCTCTCATTGAATGTACCGCATTTGGCAAGGTGGTCCACCGTGGGTTTGTAGCTTACTGTCACTGTTGTTGCTTGTTTGCTATGATGGACAAGAGCGCATTAAGCCTACTGTACCCCATCTTTCACTTCTATGATTGCTTCAGCAGGGAAACTCATAAATGTGACTTAAAAGTTCTGATATTTTAGCTTGTGATTGCATGGCTACATTACATTCCTCTGTGTGGTGTGACTCAAAGTGCTATATATATATATATATATATATATATATATATATATTGGTATTGAGACTTTCATATATTTTCAGCTATTGATCTTTTTCTGTACTGTGCCTATCCTTTGTATGTTAGTCAGCTTTCTGTTGCTGTAGCAGAATACTTGAGATAAAATAAGTTATAAAGGACAAGGGTGTATTTTGGCCTACAGTTTTGGGGTTTCAATCAGTTGACCTCATTCTTCTGGGAAGTAGCTTATGGTGAAGTCGGAGTGCATGATGGAAGCAAAAGAGAGAGAGCGAGAAAAGGGGCCAGGGTCCTTTTGAAGGCATGACCCCAGTGGCTGAGACCTTCTATTAGACCTAACCTTGTAAACAACCTCCTGGTTGCTGTCATGGGCTGGGGTCTGAGCCTTTAACCCCACAGGTCATTCCGGATCCAGACTGTAGCACTTGGTCTATATTTCCAATAGCATTTTGCTCTTCTTTGTTCATGATTGAATTATAAGGGAACTTAATATTCCCTCCTGCATCTCTCATCCCAGTGACAACTGCGCATGCCTGCCAGCACCCTGCCCTCATGAGCAGCAGCCATTGTGGTATATTTATGGCAAGTTTATCCTTAGAGCTGGGTATATTTCAGAAGGATAGTGATGTTGACTTATGCATGCATGTATTTCAAGCTTACATAAATTGTATTATACTATAAATCATGACCTTTTTCTTTTGAATGCTGGTGCTATTTTTAAAGAATCTATCTGACTGCCAGGTAATACTTGGCTTATTACTTCTGATTGCCACACTGTTCTGTAGATGTTGTGGGAGTTTTGCGATAGTTGAATCTTACTGGGCTAACCTAGATAGGAGAAGTGCCATTATAGGGGGGAGCCTCAAAGGATGAAGAGGACTGGATGAATGGCAAGGGAACCAAAAGGACGACATACAGACGTGGACCAGAATATTCAGGGAGGGTCTTATGGACTTCTTGGGCCGTAGTGGGAGTGTGGGTGTGGTCATAAGGGGTGCGATGGGAGAGATCTCAGATGCCAGGATTGGACTTTCCCTAAAAGAACTAGGGAGAGGCAGTGGTGGGATAAGGGCATTGGGAAGAAGAGTGTCCAGTCAGTAAAGACTTTCCAGGAGAGGAGTGATGTCTCAGGGATAGAGAATTAAGGTGGACTGAAGTTAAAAACTCTTGAGAGGCTAACGTCCCTGCAGGCCTCCAGATCAGAGAGTAGGAGGTTGCGGCTTTGTGGGGTGTGTGTAGGGGTGGTGCAGCAGGGCCTGCACAGAGGACACCTGCAGAATCAGACCCTATAACCATGAGGAGAGAGGAGGCCAGACTGGTGGCGAGACTGCTCACTTTGGAAGCTGCAGGATGTGAGACTACAACCTGAACCATGGGATCTTTGACCCAGAGATGATAGCAATGAGATTGGGCCAAACATTACAGACCTACACATCTCTCCATGGGCAAAACCTTACTAGGGGAGAGTTTCACTGAAGAGGGTTAGTGTTAGTTGAGACAGAGACCAAACTGCTCTCAGGATAGGTGTGTATTGATTTGCTCAGGTGTGCTAAAGCTGAAATAGCCATCAGCCAGGGACACATTTCCGTAAGATATTTCTTCTTTTGGTAGACTTGGGCCCCTGGGTGGTCAACTTATCCTAGAGGTTGTTGAGTTTTTGTGTACCTGGCACCAGGATCTTGTGCAAAACACCATGATCTTGTGTGTCTAACTCCTATGGTAGGACCAAAGGACTGTGAGTGTGAGGGCTTTTGTATCCTTGAAGAAGCTCAAAGATGGGAGCAAAAAAGAGGATAGAGAAGGAAAAGAAAATATCTACCAGCTCTTCCAGGTCATAGGCCATACAAACTCTGTAATATAGTTTTGGACTAAACTTTTTTTTTTGTCTTTTTCTTTTTTATCGGTACCAGGGATCGAACTCACCACTGCCTGCTTGCAAGGCAGGCGCTTATGTTGCTGTGCTAAATCCCCAGCCCCCAGGACTAAACATTTTTAAATGGTCAACATGTCTACGTGCAGAGCTGAGTAGAATTTGTTAAGACAGAAAAAGGGACAGACACAACTGAAGACAGATTTCATAATTTCTATCCCATTTGCTCACCCATCAGGCATTTATAACAAAAGTGAAGGGTTAGTGATTTTAGCCAAAGTGGTCTTCAGGTCCCTAAAAGGTAAACCAAGTAACGACATACCTTACACATCAGAGGTAATTTTTGCATGACCTCCAAAATCAGTGATTTTTTTTGTGTTGACTAAGAACCAGTGAAACTAGAGGGCTAATTTAGGCTTTTTCTTAGTAAAATTTCTCATTTCATGCATTTCATTTCATATTTCTGTGGTTTCATCAGTATCTCATGATAGGTCTGTTGAAACATGGTAAACTACAAAGGGTAATGGTTTCCTGTGTCCAGGGGTTTACTTTATTGTCTGAGTCTTCTTTCCTGTCATGGTAATCTCTGAGTATGTTAAGGCCAATCGCAGGATAGATCTTGGAAGGGTAGACTCCTGGTCGGCAGTCCCCCTGGAGGGTTCCTGTGGGAAATTAGGGCTCTGGACTGCAGAGAGATTTGGGAGTCTTTGCGGGAGGTCACTGGGAGGTGAGCATGTAGGGGTAAAATCACCCTGGAAGAACCAAGAGGACCACAGGGAGAAGTGGATAGCTAGGCTGAGTGTCATTTTGAACTCTGCCTTTCCTGGCTACCAGGCTCAGAAGAGCATCTTCTTTGCAGGTCATCTGCCACTCTAGAATTTGGACCAAGGTGAGGAGTGGGTCATGTGCAACAAGGCCCGAGGAGGATCCCTGCCTTCCCGGAGGCTCCAGGTGGTATGGCCATGGAGGATGTACAGGCCTGCTGAGCCAAGAAGGGGGAAATGGCCTTAGGAATCGTGAGGGTGCAGTCAGTTGCCTAGACGAGCTTCATCGAGGCCCAGGTGCTGTTCCTGCTATGAGCTGCCAAACCAGAGGGCCCATTTATCCTTTGGGTATGAGCACAGATAGAGCATGTGTTTGCGCCATTGATATGGAGGGCTCTGGGAAGCTCTGGACTTTGTTATTAAGCTCAGGGTGAAGGATGGATACCACCAGAAGAATAGGCCACCTTTTGTTGGCTCAGGAAATGCCCTACTCTGAGTTGTGTCTCAGGAGAACCTTTACCTTGTCAAAGCTCACCATGCCTTGTTCTCCTGCTAATCATACAACCTAGGTCCCTTTTCAATGATTAATGGCCAATTGGGACTAATAAGCATTGTAAAGAAGACTTTCCATTCCTTCTCCAAGGGAGTCAGCCCTGGAGATGTCAGACCTTGCTGCTCATTTAGGTAATTCTCCGATGGCAACTGATAACAGAATCTTTCACATCTAATATTATTTATTTGATTTTTTAAAAATCAGCATATGTAGGTACAGTATTACCTCCATTATCATGTTCCTGAGTATGAAATTCCAGGTTTCTTGCTCCAGGTATATATTTTTTTCTGACATGCAGTCAAATAAACACTTACTTATTACAAGGCCCATTATGTGGACACCTAGAGAAACACAGCCTTAGATTTGGGGGTTTGGGGAAGAGTTACTCTTGGGATAGGTTCTTTTTCCCAAACACTTTTTCTTCTGTCCTCTTGGATTTAGGGACTAGGGCCTGTCAATGACATTGGCAGAGGATATTAATAAAGGCTATGTGTGGAAAAAAATAGGTTTTGTAGGGAGATGGATGGGCTTTGAGGAGAACACCAGAGAGAAAGTTAGTGATTGTGTTTGTTCACACAGGTAGGAGCCATCTTCCTAGCTGCCTCAGGACCACAACACTGTCCTGGAGAAGGGATTGAGGTGGGTTTTATTTCTGTTCTCCCACTGGGGAGTAGTTACTCCCTCAAGAAGCAATTTACAGCAGTCTTGCTTCCAAAACTTACTGCCTTTAGACACATGTGAAGGCGCAGGAAGGGTTCTCTCTGCATCCACTGAGTCTCAAATGTCCTCACCTTAAACTAATTTTCACAGCAACTCTGGGTTTCCGAGTGTATTCTTGTACCTTTATCAGAGAGGTCGCATTGGCAGCTACATGAGAAATGGAGATAATTTAATGGTCAAGAAAAGAAACATGACTGAGGCTGTAGCTCAGTAGTAGGGTATGTGATTAGCATGCATGAGGCCCTGGCTTCCATCCCCAGCACCACAGAAACCAACAACAATAAAAATAACAGCAGTGAACATCTATGCAGACACACTCAAGCCCTTGCAGGTCATCCCTTCCCAGCCACCACCAGCAATAGGGGTAACAGGAACCAGAGGTTGTAAAAGTATCACCCAGCATCTAAAGTAAGAAGAAAAATTCAATTATTTAGTCTAAAAATTTAATTTGTTAACATCTTTATTATTTTTGCTTGAGATACACATAAATTTATTTTTAAAAATTAGACAGATCTCAAATAAGCATAAATAAATAAAAATCATGTATACCCTTGCTATGCACAGATAGCTATCAGTTAATGTTTTGATGTTTTATTATGAAAAGTGTACAAACAAGGCTTTAACAATTGCGACCATACTGAATATAAAGCTTTTTTAAAATTGTATGCTGTGAGCATCTTTCTACTTTACTTTTCAAAAATAAGTTCCTAAAGCTTACATGGATTCTCCCTACGCTTACATGGCTACACTGAAGTCTATGTACACGGTTCCCTTTTGTGGACCTCGTGAGTATGAGTGTTTGTTCTGTTGTAAGTAATGGCATGACCATATGCTTTGGCAGGTGTTCTGTGGGTGATCTCTGGTTCCAAGGGGGCTGAGATGGAGAGTGCCCGTGAGAGGGACAGATCCAGGACAAGTGGCTGCAGGGAAAGTATTCATCTTGAAAATACCCAGCTTTGGGAGATAGCATGGCATCAGGGAAGAAAGTCTGGGACAAATATTTATGCTGAGGAGAGAAGGGCCTGGTACTGTATCCTGGGCACACTGCCCTTGGGCTTCTGTCCCCAGACACAGGGGTCTTTCATTTGACTGGCACAGGCAGGGTAGGGGTGGTTCCCCACCATGGGACTAGGCAACTGTGTGCAGCCATAGAAACTTACTCACTTTCATAGTCACTTCCTGCCCTTTTCCAGGAAACTAAGCGTGGAATTGATGCACATATACATGTTGGGAGGTTGATGGTAGTGTTTCCCTGGGTTGTTTCCCGTTCCTTTCTACCCCACCTCTAGGAGACTTCTGCCTCCTAAGACACAGATATTTAGGAGCAGGGGCGCCTCTGGCTCTGCCGTGGCTCAGTCACAGGAAGCCCTCACCATCCTGGTCCTGCCTTGAGTTCTGCCATCTCTAAGAACCCATCAGCCTGGCTGGCATAATGGTAAACATCTAACCTGGCAGAGGAATGTGCAGAGAGGCAGGTATCCTCCTGTCTGTCCTTCCTGATTCGGACTTGAAGGAGTCAGAGAACTATCAGGGAATAGGGTCCTTTCTAAAGAATGAACCCAGGGCTGCCTTACTCCTGGGCTTCCTTAACAAAGAGAACACTTACTGAGCACTGTGGAAATGCAGTGAGGTGTCTCAGGCTTCCCCTTTGACACAGCCAGGTAACTGGTGCTCCCGGAGTTCTGTTTGCTCTAGAATTGCAATCATTTTTGAGTTGGGAGAAATGGTTTCAGGCTTATAGCATGATAGCACAGCAGGTTTGGAAAGACAACCTGCCCTAAACTTCTGTTTTCATAACTGTGGGACCTAGTTGAAAGTGAGTCAAAGTGTATTTGCTGGGGTCTGCGCTCTTGGGTTCAAATCCCTTCATTACCACTTACTGCCTATGTGAGTCTGAGTGATTGCTCTGACCTCATCTGTTCTGTTGCATGGGGTCAGTAATACCCCGCCACCACCTGGACCCTGAGGGTTTGGAACTCCTACTTGTAGAGGGCCTGGTGAATGTCAGCACAGGGGCCCTCAAGAAAGGGCAGTATGACTCAGGAGCCCACACCCCTTTCTTTGCCATTTCCCTGCTGTCTTCCCTCTGTCTCCCAGAAGGAGGCTGTGGGCTGAAATGCCCAGCTGTGTCCTGGAAGGTGGAACCCTGCTCTCCTTCTGTACTCTGTGCATGAGAGGACACCTCACAATAACCTGGGCTTAGCAGCTTCCCTTACAGGCAGACAGGAAGCAGCTCCTTGAGGGCTGTATGTTGCTTCTGTGACCTCTGGGTCCTGGGGAGGGGGAGAAGAGGACACCATATCAAAGCTCACTTCACAGCGCTCCAGGTCAGGAGCCATAACACGCTCTGCACTAAAGGTGCTTCCCCCACCAAGAGAGCTTCTGCCAAGGGTTTGCTCAGTGCAGGCTTGGGAAGGAGATGAAAAGGAATAGAAGACAGAATTGAACCGAGGATCCAGGACTCTGGGAGGCTCTACCTGAGTTCTGGTTTAAGCATGAACCACATCTCCCAGCCTTCCTTGCTTATTCATAACCCCTGCTTAGCCACGTTCAATGATCAATCACTTTCTCTTACCTTCCTCCACTTGCCAGTAGCTTTCAACAGTGCCAACCACTTCCTCCTCCTGAAACAGCCTACTCTGTTATCTTGTGTTGACACTCTCTCCTGTTGCTTTCACTTTTCCAACAGTCCTTTGTCAGCCCCCTTTGGAGCTTCTCCCCCTCCGTCCTGGTGGGCCCCAGCATCCCTGGCTCTGACCACTGCTCTGATGGTCATAGTGCTCAGAAGCTCCAGGTGGCTTTTTCAGTTGCCTACTCGAGCAGCTCATAGATAGCTCAGTATTTTGAAAAGATCAGAGCCTTGATTTCCTCCCTTAAGCTGTTTCCCATTCTTTCCTACTTCTACAGATGCTGCTGTTACTGTAGAAGTACCATTCAGTTGCTTAAGCCAGAAATGTGCAATTTTCCTTAGACTTCTGTGTCACCTTTATACCTCCCGTCTGCTGAAGCATCAAGTCTTCCTGGTTGTCCTCCATATAAATCCCAAGTCCTAGGAAGTGCCCTCCATCCCTGGCCCTCCAAGGTCCTGCTGGTCTCTTTGATTTTACTTAGCTCTTGTACTCCGTGCAGCAGAGAGATGACCTTAATTACATAAATGTTCTCCAAGCTTCTGTTTGTTCAATTTAAAAAGACAGCTTGGTTGACCGTGGGGACACCATGATCTTGCTGGCTCTGGCCCCTCTGGCCTCTCTGGCCCTGGGCATCTTGTCCCACCCTCTTACCTGTTTTCTGTTCCCTGTCCCTACTCCAAGTAAGGAAGGAACTGGGCCTGCAGTTTCCCGCAGCATGAAGCACTCCTCCCTTGCTGGCCCCTCTGACCTCCTCTGAGCTTCCTGGGCAGCGAGCTTATCCACCTGCTAGCTTGCTTGCTCTCTTCACTCCTTCCTCCCCAGCATTCATCATAGCTCATCAGCAGGTGTTGATTAATTCTCCTGTTGGTTTATTTACTTTCTGTCACATTTCTTGTTTGTTTTCTCTGTCACCAGATTGGAAGCTCAGGGGTCCTCGTTTTGTTCCTGACCCATCAGTAGCTTCTAGCATAGGGACCACACTGAGCCAGTGCCAGCTTGTACCAGAGCCACAGTCCTGAGAGTCTGGGGGCTGAGAAGAGGGTGCGCATGTAGGTCTCATTAGGTTTCTGGTGTATGCATCTGGGTGAAGAGTTGTAAAATCCAAAATGCAGGAGGAATTGCAACTTGATGGAGAGAATTAACCAGGTCTTTGTTCTGTTGAATTTGAGGGGCTTAGAGATAAGCCTGCCCCTTACTTGCCAGCCTTAGAAAGTGACCACTGGAGGGCTCCATTGAATAGGTCCAGTATGGGAAGGTTCTAAATAAGGCTGACAAGCTGCCATATAAAGTACATCCTATCCATCCACCTTAGTCCCCCTACTTTGCTCTTTAGTGGTCCAGGCCAGAATCAGAAATCTCAGCCTCCTCTGAGCCCAACCCAGCTTTTGGCTCCTGCTGAGACTCCACTTCCCTTTCTCTTCCCCTGTCTGCCTCCCGAGGATGGTGATCTGCCCACAGCTCCTTCTCATCTGATATCAGCTTCCCCTCACCCCAGTCTAGGGTTCCACAGAGCAGGGAGATCTGGGATGAAGAGAGGCCCGAGATACCATAGGGCCGGCCCAGAGGCAGGTACTTGCAGGAGCCTGGACACCCAGAGTGTGGTGGAGAGCAAGCGTGCGTGGACTTCGGGCAGTGTGTCCCACAGACTCCTGGCATACTAGGACAAAGATGCTGGAGGATGTGAAGCCAAAGTGTCTACCATGGTAGCTTGGTCTGAGGGCACCAACACTATGGACACACCAGTGCAGGGGCCTTCTGGGAAGTTAGGGGATTCTGAGGGCTGGAGCTTGGGATGGGGCAATGGGCTTTGAGTTCTCAGCGCATAGTTGGTGATAGTTGAGGCTGGAGAAGAAGCTGACTATGTAACAGGAAGAGAGAATGGTGGGTTATATGTGCTCTCCCCACCCACAGGCTCATTCTCAGCCTGGGTCCTGTGGACATGTTGGGAGTACAGCCGTGGGAAAGGGACAGTTTGGGGTTCATGTGCTCAGAGGCCGAGTTTGGCTTTCTTTCTCACCACTTGTTGTGCAAGGCTTAGTGGTGATTTAGCCTCCTTGAGCCTGTCCCCAGCTCCAGCTCTGTGGAATGGGCATCGTGAAGCTGAATGAAGTTTATGTGACAAGTGATTTGGGACATTTGTAATTATTAGGCACTCATATCAAGGGTCATGATTACAGGTGACCTGACACCTAGCCTTATAAAAATTGAAATGTCACAGGTTTGAAACAGGAGAGGAAAAACTACCTACCCTGCAGGTGACCGGAGAGTCAGAACCTGGGGCAGAAGCAC